GAAGGAGTTCATCCCGACGTAAGAGGATGGAATCCACAGAGTCAACTGTTGTTGAGTGCTTCACATAAGGAGGAATAGTGGGTGGAAGGCGACCATACAAAGCTTGAAATGGCGTCATTTGTATGCTGCTATGAAAATTAGTATTGTAACTAAACTCAGCCCAACACAAATACTCATGCCATGACTTGGGGTGATCTTGAGCAAAAGCACGCAAATACTGCTCTAAGCCACGATTAATAACCTCGGATTGGCCATCGGTCTGTGGATGATAAGCGCTACTATGCTTCAAAGTTGTTCCACTCAATTCAAATAACTTCTGCCAAAATTTACTCATGAACACCTTGTCTCTGTCAAAGATAATAGAACTAGGGAACCCATGTAACTTAACAACCATTGTTGTAAACAATTCAGCAGCCTTAGATGCATTAAAAGCTCCCGGCAGTGCACCAAAATGAGCGTACTTCGTTAAACGATCCACTACCACCATTACTACCGAAAATCCATGAGATAATGGCAAGGCTACAATGAAGTCCATTGTAATGTCATCCCATACTTGGGACGGTATAGGCAGGGGTTGGATGAGACCAGCTGGTGGTTGAGTTGACGATTTAATTTGCTGGCAAGTTAAACACTCAGACACAAACTTTTCAACATCCTTTCTCATTCCCTGCCAATAAAAACTAGTGGCAAGCCGAATCAATGTTCTTTTAACCCCTGCATGTCCGGCCATTGGAGTGGAGTGAAATTCCTTTAATAACGGCTCACGAAGTGCAGACTCTTTGGCAATGTAAAAACGATTTTTGTACAGTAAGAGTCCATCATGCACAGAAAAATGCAGAGATAATTTCTTATTATCCAACTTCAGGTGTAGAGCCACGAGTTCTGCCAACACACTATTTTCACTGCGTAAAATAGCCAAAAAATCTGAAGTGGGATAAGATGCAATCATTGACATCATGGATGGAGTGTTGTCACCTGAAGCAGCTTCATGTATACGTGATAAAGCGTCAGCCACCCGATTGGAACTACCAGGCTTGTATTCAATGCGAAAATGGTATCCCAACAATTTCCTAACATATATTTGTTGCTCTGGTGTTTGAACTACTTGCTGTAAGAGTTCTTTAATGCTGCGATGATCTGTACGGATGACAAAGAATCGGCCAAGTAAGTATTTTCGCCATTTTTGCACTGCCTCTACAATTGCATAGAGCTCTTTATGATATGTAGAAGCTGCAGACATGCGGGTACCTAGCTTCTTACTAAAAAAAGCGATGGGATGATCCTCTTGCATTAAAACAGCCCCTACCCCTACATTAGATGCATCTGTCTCGATGATAAAAGGTAACTCAAAATTTGGTAAACGCAGAACCGGAGCTTGAGACATGGCATGTTTAAGAGCTTGGAAGGCTGACTCAGCTGCCTGGGACCAATAAAATCCATCTTTTTTGAGAAGTTCAGTTAATGGAGCTGTAATGGTCGCATATCCCCGTACAAACCGTCTATAATATCCCGTAAGGCCCAAAAACCCACGGAGTTGCTTCAAATTTGTGATTGCCGACCAATTAAACATAGCTTCAACTTTCTTTGGGTCTGCATGAACTCCCTTGGCATCAACAATGTGACCTAAATATTCAATGGATGACTGGCAAAAATGACACTTTGAGAGTTTCACAAAAAATTGATTAGATTGCAGGCATTCCAGAATAAGCTGTAGATGAGAAACATGGTTGGACAAGGAAGCACTATAGATCAAAATGTCATCAAAGAATATTACTACAAACTTACGCAAGTACGGTGCCAACATTTGGTTCATGGTTGCCTGGAATGTGGACGGGGCATTTGACATGCTGAATGGCATAACCAGGAACTCATAGTGACCTTCATGAGTTCGGAAGGTAGTCTTGTAAACATCTCTATCACGAACACGTATCTGATGATACCCTGCACGCAAGTCCAACTTAGAGAAAACCTTAGCTCCCCCCAATTCATCAAACAATTCATCAATAGTTGGAATTGGAAAGTGGTCCCGAACTGTTACTGCATTCAGAGCTCTATAATCAACACAAAATCTGTATGTTCCATCCTTCTTCCGAACCAACAACACTGGAGAAGAAAAAGGACTCTGGCTTGGTCGTATAATGCCTTGATCCAACATTTCTGCCACTAGTTTTTCAATTTCAGCCTTCTGAAAATGAGGATATCGGTATGGACGGACATTAACAGGTTTGGTACTTGGGAACAAATGAATTTGGTGCTCAAGTGACCGTCGAGGGGGTAATCCCGAGGGCGTGGAGAATACTGAAGAGTATTGTTGTAGAACACTTAAAATATCTGGGGGCACGGAATAATGAAATTCCAATTCAAAAGGTTCTTGATTATCAGATTCCTGCAATAAGTACAGTTCGTATATAGTATGGGTGTCATTAGAGGAGACCATAGCCTGCAGCTGATTATAAGATATCCGGGTAGGATGTAATTCATTATCGCCCTTTAATGTCACTGTAACTCCATTCCAGCAGAACTCCATGGATGGTATAGAGAAATCTTGAGCCACAACACCCAAGCTTTGTAGCCATTGAACGCCTAAAACAATATCAGGCCCTTGAATGGGTAGTACATATAGGTCCACTGTGAATTGAGACCCTTGCATGACTAGTCCAACTTGTTGGCACTTGCAATCACATACCAAAAAGTCACCATTCCCTACGAAAACTCGAAACGTCGGTGTTGGCATTATCGGCAACCGCAGCTTCTCCGCTATCTTGGGGTGGATTAAATTATGGGTACTCCCACTATCAATAAGGATATGCATATTATGCGAATTAACCATTCCCCATAGCCGCAAAGACCGCGGACTACCAGGACCTGCTAGAGAATTTAAACTACAAATGTCACCTGTGATCAAAGTATCATCCAACTCAGGCTCGATATGATCGTCTGGTGTCTCATCTATGGTATCATCCGCAGCTACCAGCAACATAAAGGATTTGTTTGGGCAGTTGTGGGATTGAGACCATTTTTGGTCACAATAATAACACAGGTCTTTTGCTCTCCTTTCCCTCATTTCAGCTGGAGAACGTGGAACGGGTTGACTTGGTGGCACCGGTAAGGGCAATGCTACTGACATAGGCAGACCATTGGGCTGGTTCCTGATTACTGGCAATTGTGATGGTGGCTGTTGAACCGACGGCTGCAATGTTTGTTTATTTGGCCAGCGTGAGGTAAAACGACTATTATCCCGGGCTTCAAAAGCACGAGCTAAGGAAAATGCTCCATTCAGTTCACGTTGTAGCATTGGCTTAAGGCCAGATATGAAAAAAGAAATCAGTAAAGATTCTGAAATACCCGTGACACGGTTCATCAACCTTTCGAACTCTGCCTGATACTCTGCTACAGAACCACGTTGGATGAGTTTAGATAGAGCTCCTTGGTGATCCTCAAACTGGGATGGTCCAAATCGTAGCTGTACTTGTTGGAGAAAATTTGACCATCCAGAAATTAGGCCATTATTTGACATATACTGGAACCATTCAGAAGCTATTCCATCCAAGTTGAAGGCAACAATCCGAAACCGCTGGTCATCTGGAGTTCCTATGAAATCAAAGTACTGCCGAATGCGAAAAATCCAAGTGAATGGATCCGTTCCATCGAACCGTGGAATATCTAGTCGTAACGAACGGGGTATATCTGAGTCTCCTACCCCCGTTTGGCGCGAAAAAGGGGTATTAACTGGTGGTGTTGGTAACAATCCAGAGGAATTCCCATCATGGCCTTCAACAGATTTTCCTTTGACATGAGATTGTAGTTGATTGATCTGTTGGTGTACTGTTTCGATCGCTAGTGCCTGTGAGTCATATTTTCCTTGTAAGGCTTGAATCTAAACGGTGAGGATATCAACTTGTTGCTTTACCGTTTGTTGGAGTGCAGCCAACAAAGCTTCATTAGCGGAGTTATCCTGGTTGGTAGACATGAATGGAACGTGAGAACGAATCAATGAAAGCACCAATTGATACGTTGTGTATCAGTTTACACACTACTTCGAGCGAGTGCAGACTCCAAGAATGAAGAAAATGAGAATAGTGCAGGAAGAAAGATGAGAAGAGAAATAACAGAAGGTGGTAGAAGAGATAATTCTTATTCTGCCCATTGCTTTAGCCGGTAATAGCTTTTATACAAATATTCTACCAAAGACTACTGCATAAAATAAGGAAAAGATATGCATAAATAAGGTAAACCAATATTATGTAATTTTAGGAATGATTCTAATGCCTTTCTTATTTGTAAACAAAATTATTGTCCTTCCATTCATGACTTCGTTTCTTGACCCGGGTGGAACGTCGTAACCCATTTGTCATTAACTCATCCCGTGACATATCCGTTGGTGTATCATTTGCATAGCTAGGTTAGTTACATTATCCTATCCTAATAATAATAATAGTAGTAGTAGTAGCAGCAACAACAATAATAAGGATAGTAAGAATAATAGTAATAACAATAAAAAAACAATTTATAATAATAATTAAAAATAAATTATTATAAAATCTATTACTAAATTCTAAAATATGTTTAATATATATATATATATATATATATATATATATATATATATATATATGTGTGTGTGTGTGTGTGTGTGTGTGTGTGTGTGTGTGTGTGTGTGTTCCAGCTTCTATGAGAATCATGCCTCATATGAGAATCGGTGGACAAATTCAAACCATCGATCTAGTAGATTTAACAGTTGAAAATAAAGAAAAAATGAGTCATTTTTCATAAATATTACAAAAAAAAAAAAAAAAAAAAAAAAAAAAAAAAAAAAAAAAAAAAAAAAAACTAAAATCACCAACTGCCATGTATTGTGATGGCATCTAGGTTACTTTTGGGCTGAAAATGTTTGAGAAAGTAGAATAGGAAAAAATTGCCAACATTTGGATGAGGTCTTATAGTTTTTGAAAAGATGATGAATTTGCTAGCTAACACACAGCATTAACTCTCACATAATATTAAAATGAAAAGAGCAGTGAGGTGCATTTATTAACTCCCACAAGTAGGTCACCATATCATTACAACTTACAAGTCATTGATTTCTGGTGGAAATCAATGATTGGATAATATAATTCAGCTAGTATAGTATTAGGCCGGTGTGGCAATGAGAAACAGATTATTCTTCCTCTTGGAACTGGCCCCAAACACCTCAGTCATATCCACATCTGCAGGCTTAGTTCCATCAGGGAGCTTCCACCTAAAGTGGTAGAGCAAATTAGCAAGAGGAAGTTCAACATTGGCTAAACCAAAGGCTATGCCAGGGCACACTCGCCTTCCCCCTCCAAATGGAATAAACTCCATATTCTGCCCACCCGTCATGTATTCCATCCCGTCGTTGTTGTCTCTAAACCTCTCCGGTTTAAAGCTCTCGGGGTCTTTCCAGTGCTCGGGGTCCCTGTTAATCGCCCAGGCGTTAACGATGACTTTGGTTTTGGGTGGTATGACGTACCCCTCGATTTCCCTTTCCTCCCTGCACTCCCTTGGGAGTAACAAGGGAATAGGTGGGTGCAACCTTAGAGTTTCTTTGATCACCATTTTTAAGTACTTCAGTTCCTTCACATCAATTTCTTGGATTTTGTCTTTCCCTTTCACCACTTCTCTCAGCTCAGCTTGTGCCTTCTCCATCACTCCTGGATTTCTTAGCATTTCTGACATGGCCCATTCGGTTGTTGATGCTGAGGTTTCTGTTCCAGCTGAAAACATGTCCTGCATAACTCAATCATATATATATATATATATATATATATATATATATGCATGACATCATTATATTATATTCAAACTAAAAATATTTCTCCTGAAAATGTCAAATATACCTTCCAACTTTATACCAGAAGGAAATTAAGTCCCTAAAATTTTAAAAGTTGCAATTAAATGCTCACTTATTAAAATTGGTCAAATAAGTCTAACTTATGCCGGTCATCATTGACCACTACTGGAGGCCGTTGACCGTCGTGGTTGATAACAAAATTGCCCCCGGTTAACCGGCAAATTATTGTGTGGACCATGGTCCACACAATGTTATGTGGATCATAACAAAAAGTACATTTTTAATATACTAAATATACATTATTTTTGTACCGTATGTACATTATATAATATAATGTATACTCAGTACAAAAATAATGTACATTCCCTGAATACAATATACATTATTTTTATACTGAATGTACATTATGTTACACTATAAAATATGGTTCATACAACTTGTGTGGACGATAGTCCACACAATAATAATTGCGATTAACCGGTCTGGTCTCCTTCCAATTGACCAAGAAGGCAACCTAGTGATCACCTTCACATAGAGAAGCAACCATTTGGATCGCCTTCTTTAAAGACAGCTTGTGACCGTGGCCTATATATAGTCAAAATTGCGGGAACCTTACCGACCTATTTCTACAGCTCATTAACCCATTTTGGAACTTCAATGTAGAAAAATAGTGTAGTATGTTCATGAGCTTAAACGCAGATCGAAGGTTTGATTGATTAATGTTCCCTGACCTGAATGACAGCTTTGATGTTGTCGGTTGTGATAGGGAAGTTAAAGCCACCCTTCTCCTGGAGTCTAAGAAGCACATCAACTATATCTTCGTCGCAATATCCAATATTGTCGTTGTGCTTCTGTCTATGCTGGTCGATGATTTGATCCAATATTTGATCAATTCTACGGCGCAGCTTCCTCAGTCTGGGCTCCATCCCACTCAGTACATGCAGAAATCTCCGAGAAGGGAAAAGATCAGCCACGTCGAAACCTCCGGCCAAGGCAATCCCTTCATTTATCAGCGACAAAACTCCCACTTCGTCATTGATTTTCGTCCCAAATGCTGCTCGGGAAACCACGGCGTTGGTATACTGAAAGATTTTCTCCGTCAGGTTGACTGGCGATCCCGAAGAGGATTTCATGTACTGAACCAACTTGGAAACCTCGGCTTCCCGGATGGGCGAAAACGACGACACCATCTTCGAGCTGAGGAGCTCTAAGATGCAGATTTTGCGCATCTGTCGCCAGTACTCGCCGTACGGAGCAAACGCGATGTTTTGATTGTTGGTCATGATCTTGGAGGCTAGGATTTCCGGCCGGCTGGCGAAGGCGACGTCGTGGGTTTTCAGTACTTGTTTCGCCGCCCGGGGAGTCGATATCACCACGGCGGAAATCTCCCCCAGCTGGAGGTGCATTATGCCGCCGTGTTTCGTCGCTAAATCTCTTAGAACATGATTGGGTGGTGCTGAGCTGCCTGCCAGATGGTGGATACTTCCTATAAATGGTAATTTCCACGGTCCCGGCGGCAGTTTTCCGGCGACACTACTAGTTTTCTTGGATTTCTTTGTAACGTTCTTGATTAAGTTGAATAACAGGAAGAGAAGGGTGATGAAAGCGATGATGAGGGAAAATGGAAACTTAATTTCCATTTCAACGAAAACTAAGAGAGGCAAAGAAAGGTGTAGGAATTCATATAACTAACAATTTTGAGCGTTATATATAAGTTTTAACTTCAAACTTACTGGTCAGCATCATACCTTAAAAGGTAGACTTAAAATTTATGAGACACAAGAGAGGTAAATTAGTGTAAGTGTGTAACGTAACAAACTCGATCAAAAGGATAATATTCATACTCCACCCACTAGTCACTAAGATTGGTGATGGCCACAAGGCCAAATTCACCACCTTGAACCCTATAAAAGCAAAGCCAATAAACTTATTTTGAATTAGTTGATCTAAGGCATCATAATTTGGACATTATTTAGTCATCCCTAAACATAATGAACAAAAGGAGTTTAATTACCGCGGAGTGTTATAATGTTCATTAAATTGAACACAATATTTAGCATTTTAATGGTACCTTTGAAAACACAGCAAATAATGTTTTTATGAAAAATGATTTTTTGTGAAAAACATTTTCATTTTTGTTATTTGGGTTAAAGTAAAAAAATTGTATGTTTCTATTTGATTCATTTTTCAAGAACATAAATCTATTACAATTTTTTTAAAATATTAATTATTTTAATGATTATAATAATTATTTATATTAATAAAAAATTATAAATTAAAATTTATAATAGTTATAAACATTAAAAATAATTATAATAAATAATATATATATATATATATATATATATATATATATATATATATATATATATATATATATATATATATATATATATTTTAACTTACCAAGACTATGTGGTCTAATGGTACCCGGGTTGGACTTTCATTTGGAAGGTTGTGAGTTCGAGCCTTAGAGTCTATTATTATAATAGAAATAAATACATGAATTGATAAATATAATAAGTATTAATTAAAGAAAGTGAAAAAATTAATACTTTTTTAATGTAGGAAGAGCCAAGCTAGGTCAAGATTTTTATTATAATAGTTATAAACATTAATAAAGTAATAAGTCTAAATAAAATAAAAATTAAACCTAAAATATTTTTGGAGAAAAGTACAAATAAGTCAATGAACTATTTAGGGGATAGCAATTAAGTCATCCAACTCGAATAAGCTCTAAATTTATCCATGAACCCAGAAAACCTATTACCATTATCAAGTATTTGATTCTCATTCCAATTCCGATTCTCATGTGGGAACTGGGAACCAAACACACCCTGATGATGTTGCTGCCTTTTGGTTTTTATTCTAGACATTGAATTGAACTTAGTGTTGTTAGATTGGCAAATTATGCCCTGGACCCGTGTCCACAATGAATTGTGGACACGGGCCCAAAACAACGTCGTTTTTAAAAAAAAAAACGCGTCATTTAGTTATAAAAAAAAAATTGCGCGCGTTTTGCCGTTAACGGCGTTATTTATTTATTTATTTTTTTTTTTTGGATTATGAATGTACAGTTATGCCATTATGAATGTACAGTTATGCAATTATGAACACAGAGCTCTAACATTATGAACTTACAATTATGAACATATATAGTGATAAAATTATGACCATGAAGCTTTAAAATTGTGAATATAGAGCTTCGAAGATTATGAATGTACAGTTATGGAGTTATGAATGTACAGTTATAGAGTTATGAATCTACAGTTATGGAGTTATGAATCTACAGTTATGAGATTATGAATCTACAGTATGGAATTATGAATGTACAGTTATTGATCGAATTATGAACAAAGAGCTCTAACATTATGAACTTACAATTATGAACATATAGTGATAAAATTATGAACATAGAGCTCTAAAATTGTGAACATGGAGCTTCGAAAATTATGAATGTACAATTATGGAGTTATGAATGTACATTTATGGAGTTATGAATGTACAGTTATGGAGTTATGAATGTACAATTATAGAGTTATGAACGTACAGTTATGGAGTTATGAATGTACAGTTATTAACATATAGTAATAAAATTATGAACATATACTCCTATAACGAAGCGGTCTGAAATTAAAAAAAAAAAAAAAAAAGATAACAGTGCCTAACGACATTGTTACCCGTGTCCAGCAAGCATGCTGGACACGGGTCCAACGCATAACGATTGTGTTAGATTTTTATATTTTAGACTCTATGGATTTGTGGTTATTGGTTGGTTTTCATGTGAAGTATTGGACTAATGGACTAGTTATTGTTAGTGCCAGAAGATGGCATTTTGGTTCTAGACCTAATTCAGCGCTTAAAAAGACTATATAATAAGCCTGAGTGTGAGATGTGCCATGGTTTGGAAGAATCAAATTTGTTTTTGAAATGATATGGTATGTCTAGGAGAATATCCTTGGTTTGGCAAGTAGCCTTAAATTTTGTAAAACTAGTAAATTTTAAATTGGATATGTCATGTGTGATATAAACACTTGCATTGATGATTGCTCATTTGATCTGATGCACAAAACAATTTGAGGTCACACACAAGCTTTAGACCTTTAGGAAAATAAGAAAAAAAAAAAAGAAAAAAAAAAGAGCGTACAGCTGGTGAATCTTTATTGTGCAATTTTGATGATTTCTTTCGGATGTCTGGTTATTTAAGTTTTGTATCATTGATGGAATTGTACTGATAATTCGTATTTTTCGACAGGCAAATAGTTGGCCAAATACGAATGGGTGTCAGGTATGTCTTGAATGGCCAGTTCTGATCTGAGTCATTAAGTATCAACTTCAATAAATAATACTACAACGGTTTTTTAAAATCGTTATCTTTACGCGTCCTTTTTTTTTAAAGTCAACTTTTTATTAACTGTTGTCGTTTGTGTATTGTTCCCGTTTTTCTTGTCGTTGGTGAGTTGTTTTTAAACACACTTTAATACACAACATTTCAAAGGCAACGATTTTTTAACCGTTGTCTCTGTGTGTTTTTTTAACCATTGTCTTTGTGTGTTTTTTTAGTCGTTGGTGTGTTGTCGCATACTTGAACACACAACACTTCTAAGACAACGATTTTGTAAAATTGTAATGTAGAGGATACCCATTTATAATCACCTCCTCTGAGGTTCAAACTCATCACCTCCCAAATAAGGAAGCAATTTGAACCTCATCACCTCCCAAATAAGGAAGCAATTTGGAACCATTGAACTACAAGATCCTTGGTAAAATTAGTGTGTTGTCTTTAAACACACGTTGGATAAACAACACTTCAAAGACAATTATTTTTTTAAAAAGGTTGTCTTTGTGCGTTTTTTTGTTTAAATTTTTTTTTACGTGTACAACGACTTTATTTATGTGTTGTCATTAGTCTTTTTGTCTTTAAATATGAGAAGATTTTGATGATACACAAAAATAAGAAATAATTAAATAATTAATTTTTCTCAATTATTTGTGAAGTATATTTTTTATAATCATTAAACGACATAATTTTGAAAATTTACATCTTTTGATTTTAGTTTCTATTTATTTAATTACTTATAAAACATACAATGTGTTAATTACCAAAATAGTCCCTTGACTATAGCAAAATTACCAATTAACTACTACATAAAAAAAATTCAAATTATCCATCAAACTACACACAAAAGTGCATTGAATCATTTAACTAAAAGAGTACTATTAAATCTCATTCCCCTCCTTGTCACTGACGTGGCGGTCATTTTATTAAAAAAATTATTATTTTTAATTTATTTTAACAATTTCAAATAAATAAAATTTAAAAACATACCACCCCCTCCATGTCTTTGTCTCCAATCGAATTCTTCATCTCTAGGCCGGAGATGAATAAATTTTCGTCTGAACATGCCAGAGACGAAGAGCATATATTTGTCTCCTGCCCGGAGACAACGTTTTCTTCGTCTCCTGTCTAGGGGCAAAGACGGAGAGGAGTGGATTTTTTTAAGTATTAAAATTAATTTTAATAATATTAATAGGATGACCGTCAAGTCAGGGATGACAAGAGGAACATGTTAAATTTGATTGAATTGCATAATTTTGGATAGTTCAGGTACAATATAGACTAAGATGACAATTAGCTATTTTAAGAGAGCTAATAAACTAATGGCATGTGTCCAATTATGATTTTCTTCATAATTTATTCTTTTCAACTTTCACCTCTATGATCAGTTGAGCTGCATATGCAAACAATTTTTTCATAATTTATGGTTGTTTGGTTGGATGTAGTTGCAATTCAATTACAACACAATTCTTTGACCACCCGAATAATAGTGTTTGGTTTGAGTGAATTACAATTTCCTCTATTTGTGAAATTGGAATTCTTGGACGCCCATAGGAATTGCAATTCGGAGCACTGGGAACAGAAAAAAACTAAGGAAATGTTCCTTTTGCCCTTTTTTATTATTATTATTATTATTATTATTATTATTATTATTATTATATAATGACATTTTAGTCTTTATATAACTTTTTTCCTTTCAATTCTCACAAATTTTTATTCATCCTTATCAAACAATGTAATTTAAATTTCTATTTTATTCCACCTTATTTTTATCACACTGAATTACTATTCTTTTCCGGCTTCCCTTAATTCATTCATTTCAACCAAATTAACACATGCTATAATTGAATATTGTGTGATTCTAATTGATTCCACGTGTCCTCTAAGGTCAATGGCTAGATGCCTAGATTGATCGGGCATCCCAAGTATGCTCTGTCACGTAGGTCTTTGGGGCGTTTGGTTCAGATAATCTGATTCTGGTAATGTTATATTACCTTGTTTGGTTCAAATAATGAGATTATCTGGTATATTACTTGAAGTTGATGTGGTGGTATGTTTTTAGGTAATGTGACTACATCCATTTTCTTAGGTAATTAAATTACCTCGAATTATTCCAACTTTATACTTGTTAACTAATCCTTATGTATAATAATAATAATAATAATAATAATAATAATAATAATAATAATAATAATAATAATAATAATAAAATATATATATATGTTTATATAATAAAATATACATGTGTATATTTATATATTATTTTTTAATATTCAAACATTGATATACATTCATACATATAAATAAATAAATAAATAAATACACACACATAAATAATA